CACACACACACACAATAAAAGAATAGACCTTTCCAAGATTTTACTTGTTGTTAAACAAATGTTTAAACAACTCTATTTATTAAATCATAAAAGTATTATGTTTATTACATCTTATTGTAGATTATGAAATGCTGAAAATGAAAGGTGTATTTCTCCTGCTGTTGTATTTTCTTTCTAAAGATGGAGTAATTTGAAAATCATTCCTCACTTCCTCAGAGTATGAAGAATTAAAGGTTGCAGAAAAAACAGCTACAATCTCCTTTAGAAGCAAGCTTGGAATTTTATTTTTCACAATGTTTTACATCAGGGGAACAAATATATATATATATAAAATGTTTTACTGAAAAAAGAATAAAAATGGTATTATTTCTTTGTTTACAAAATATTTGATGACCATGTATATTCAAGAAGGAATTTGACAGTAAGAAAGTGAATCCTTTGCTTTAATCATATTAAAACTGTACTATACAATTTGAACTCGGCATTTTCTCAGAGGCACAGTACTGTCAGTTAGGTCATATTTTAAATCTGTTCTTTGGTGACACATTATTGCCAACTTGTTCATGCTTTAGATCTGTTCCTCAGTGACACATTATTGACAGTTTGGTCATGTTTTAGATTTGTCCCTTGGTGACACATTATTGCCAGTTTGGCCATGTTTTAGATCTGTCTTTTGGTGACACATTGCTGTCACTTTGACCATGTTTTATATTGGTCCTTTGGTGACACATTACTGCTAGTTTGCTCATGTTTTAGATCTGTTTCTCAGTGCTACATTATTGCCAACTTGTTCATGCTTTAGATCTGTCCCTCAGTGACACATTACTGACAGTTTGTTCATGTTTTAGATCTGTCCTTTGGTGACACATTACTGCCAGTTAAGTCATGTTCTAGATCTGTATTAAAGCTGTGCAATATTTTCTGTATGAAACCTATGAAAGTTAAGGTTGCTGTATCTAATAATTATGGTATAATTGACATATAACAAAATGACTCAGTTTGGTTGAGCCTATATTAACTGACTGGGTAATTTTTCTGGATTTCACTTTCTGGTTGCCAAATAACTTTCACTTGCTCAAAGAAAAAGAATAAATGGTAAAATCAGGAAAGACAACTATTATACTTCTGCAATTTATTTTTTGATTCATGCAAGCCCATGTGCATGTTATCTTACATAAATAAAAGGCATTTCTAGAAGCTACAGTTTATACAATGTATCAAATAGAATGACTTACAGTATAACAAGCTAAAAATTTATATTACTTAGAAGCTGTTAAGCTAGTAAAAGTTAAATTTATAGCCACAATTAGTTTATTTGTACATTAAAACCTGAAAAGATTAACACAGTATCAAGGTTTAAACAAACACACACTGAGCAATAAGAATATATAAACAATATCATAATCATACTATCTAGCACTTCAAAAAAAAAAAAGAATATTTATAATAATAACTAAATTACATTTTAAAAACATATTCAAGTGTGTTTGACTAAACACCTTTTCCGATCAGATTTTCACAAGCAAAAGAACAAATAGCAAAAAACTGATTTCTTTTGTACACGTATGTTTCACAACAACGTATCTTGGGATCCAACATTAGAGAAAGAGCTGTAGTAACATGGTAGCTGGTGATGTTAAAATAAAAAATTAATTACCTAACGTAATTTCTTGGCTAACTAATATTGAAAGTTCCATGAACAGAATGTGTTCATGCAGGCAAAGCTTTGAAGTACTGTACAGGTCAGTATATACCAAGCTTGAAATACACTTTTCTAGTAGGACTAGTGACTTAGTGATACTGAGCTGCCTCTACTGTATGCAACAGAAAATCTGTCAGAACAGATGTGTTTATATGTGGAAGATGAAAGTGACATCTGTAAATAAATGAGCAAAAGACACATTATTGTTCAAAATTTGCACACTGAAAAAATCACCACATTGCTTACTTTCAGTTTGAAAAGCTTACCATTTCAATGTTTGATAACTACTCCAGCAATCAAATTAAGTGGTGTACAGAGATGTAATGATTTTACAACATGCTACTAAAATCAAAATAATTGTAATAGTATGTGCAGCTTGGTGACCTTAAAATATTTTGATATTTGATGGTATTATGATCTGTTAAACTCCTTCATGTTTTGTATTATACTCTGCCTCAACATAAAGTTATTTATACACAAGACCAGTCTCAGGTTTATATTCAGTTAACTGAGAACTTCTTATTTGTGCACTGGAATTTTGTATTTCAGTAAGTTTTAGGTCTGCATGATTATGCAACTTTCTACACTGTGATAGTTGAACCAAGAAAGACAAATATGCATAAAACAAACCACACAGCTCACAACACTGCTAAAACACAGGTTATGTAAACTGGACAAAAACAACACTATGTACTAATAAATCAACTTTATTTTATTACTTTTCATTAGTGTACAACACACTTGCTGTAATTGGCACACACTTATGTAATTAACATTACCTGGTGAGAAACCTTAGTATATGCAGCTTTCACCTTTCATTATAATTTTTCATTGGAAACATATCTTGTGAAAGAAAAATCTGAAGACCACAAAGGCACCGATAACATTCCTTTTAGCCAAGAAATAAGATAATTAATGAAAAGAACAAACTAATCAGAACACAAAGATAATGAAAGTCAGAGTTAGAGCAGTTAGGGTATAATGTTACAGAATTGTTCCTTTTTAAAATTTTATAAATGATAATAATAATAAACAATATATTTTTAACCAAACTATTTATGTTGCATTTAATATATTTTTTATGGTAGCTTTTAACATTTTTAATGTTTAAAAATTAAAGCATGCATTAACAGAAAAGAAAAAACACATAATAAAACAAGAAACTATATGGTTACATGTAATTCATTTTAGTCAATAATCAAAGGGTACAATTACTGAAGACAGTAAAAAATAATTATGTATTTACTAGTGTTATAACAGTTCTTATTTTGCTTTTTATCTTAGTACTATGAAACAAGGTCATATAACAAGAGAAACAATATTGTACTCATCACTGAAATAAAGCTGAATCAGAAGATGTTTGAAATTTTTAAGATTAGCTCACATTTTAATAAAATATGACACCACAGAAGGTGATGCAAAACTATACCAATTTTCCTGTGTTGACACAAAGATCAATGAAACTTGATTTGTATCCTTGTATACAAATTTTATATTGGGTATTATTATTATTAGTTTATTTTGGTACTTGTTCAAACATGATGTACAGGATGATCAGTCAAAATGTAGGTTTTTTCTTTTCAGTTTATCAATAAACACACAAGAATGACAGATTTTATTCAATACCACTGGATTTCAACAGATCTAAAGCAGAAACTTCTTTATATTTATCAATAACATGAAGTAGATAGAAAAATGACATACAACAGAGTTCTATATTTTTATTCAAATGGAAATTTAGTAAAAATGTAACAGCTATTACACACTCTGCAAATAGGATAAGTATTAAAGAAACATACAAATAAGAGGAGGTTAAGATCATACACATGATGAGGTCTCAAGTTTTTCCAGTATTAAACAGCTGTTAAAAATAGCAAGTTACTGAGTGTGAAAATATCGAGAGTACAAAATATAAGAAAAAAGAAGTACGACTTTTTTTTTTTTTTTTTTAAATGTCTTACTTCAAGGTTTATAATGAACAATCAGTATCAATAATAATATTTTCTGTTTATCATTCTTGGTAAGTTAAACCTAAAAGTAAGTATAAGACTTAGTCTAGACAGGTCTCTTGAGCCACAGAATAACGGCAATATATAATCATAGACTATGAGAGAAATTTTTTCCTGCAAATAAAAATAATTTATATGATTTGATGTACAATCTTTTCTTCTATCTGCATGTAATATATTTAACATAATTTCAGTAAAAACTCTTCATTGTACAGGATACAAAAGTAAAATTTATAATTGGCAGTTCTTCTTAAGAAACTTGATAAATATGCTATCAAAAATGATGCTACCATCTAATCTGTATTTTATTCTCAGATAATTCAAATGTTCAGTGCAGAAATAAAGTTTTAGATGTTTAGAAGGTTTGAATGACTAACATCCAAATACCCTTGAAATGCTGTTCAGAATATGATAAAGGATAGATGTGTGTGTGTGTGTGTGTGTGTGTGTGTGTGTGTGTGTGTGTGTGTGTGTGTGTGTGTGTGTGTGTGTGTGTGTGTGTAACGTGTATTGTTCAGTGTGTTAAATACATGGAACAATTATTATACATATATATCTATATATACATTTTACATCTCACATCTTACAAATATATAATTATTTAAATTAAAATGACAAAATAAAACTTAAATGTTAAGACTTGGAAGCAAAAAAAAAACAGATTTCATTTTAAAATCCTGACTTTTCTCCCTTACTTCTAACAGGGGTAATCTGGTTTGACTGAAACTAAGCTACTTAGACACCATACGGGAAGAAGGCTTTATTTAATGTTGACTAAAACTAAGCTACTTAGACACCATACAAAAAGAAGGCTTTATTTAATGTTGACTGAAACTAAGCTACTTAGACATTATAAGGAAAGAAGTCTGGATTTAATGTTTTTTTTGCCTTGGCTTATTTAGCAGACAAGATACTGTGTACATACCAAGACTCAAATAATGACTCACAATGCAACTTAAAGCCTAAGCAGTTTTTCACTCCAACAAAGCATTCCATATTAATTTCCTGTAGGAATATAAATTTCAGTCTTACAAAAACCTCCTGAAATATTAAAACTACATATACGTACGTTGTACAGACAGAATCATTTCAAGAACAAATCACAACATTATCATTATTTTTCATTAGACAGACTGTTTACAAGTTTTACTGATACATGCTGCAACAAGACTGCTAGTACAAAAACTGAATAGAAGGCCACAAGAAACAAACTTATGTTCTCATTGACTGATTGATACTTTCAGGAATGCGTGACTCCTTTTCTTGCCACGAGCATGTTCAAAACTGCATGTTTCTTAATGTACTCCACAGCCTTTTTGTGTGTCACCATAGTAAAGTCATACCCATTCACCTAGAAAATTGCAAATATACTTATTTACATATAGAAAATCTGTTAATTTATACATTTTCACACGGAAAGTTTACAAATGTTTATATAATAGCTAACATAGAAGTTATACACATTTACTTGAGAATATTGGAAATGGAAATGCAATGGTTACCAGTGAATTTGCATATATGCATGTGGAAAATTAAAAATATTGACTGTATTCACCGTCATAGGAAATTTAAAAGTACAGGTGGATCATTCCATGCCGACTCAACAAATACCACCTACTTGAAGCTATTTGATTGAGTAGTCTATTATAAGACACACAAATGTGCACAATTTCTAATACATAACTTATACATTCTATTGAAAAAACAACAACAACTTAGTTTACCCTTCTGAAAACAAATTTACACATGCTTCAGTATTACACCTCATGAATATGAATTATTGATTAATAATGGTAACTAAAATGTTAGTGTTACAAAATTCAAATATATTGCTATCATACATGTAGAAGTTTAAAAAACTGTACATCATAAAAGTTCACGGGCTGAATTAGGAAGAAAATATTTAGTAGTCATAACAAGTTTTTCCAATAGCCAAAATTGTAGATAACTTACTACATCAGCCAATGAAAATCAAGAAATAGATGCATGACTAATGTTCACTTAGAGAGAACTTTCATACTACTATGGGTTGACTGGAAGTATGCTAACATAACTTAAGTAAAGGGCAGTTTTAGGGACAGGTACCAAAATTATGGAAATGTACAGCACAGATTTTTAAAATCAATGGTGCATTTCACTATGTGCAATATTGACACTATGCCCCTGGCTCTACCAAAACAATTCAATACGTTTTACTCTCTTTTACTTGCATGATATGTGCTCACATGAAAGTTGAAAAATACATATAACAGTTAATAACAGTGAAGATGTAACTATTCATATTGAAGGTAGTAAAACAGAGATATAACATCTGAAATTGTAAAGTTTTTTTTTTTATAAAGTCAGAAAGAAAATAACATTTACTGTGAAGTCAATTCCATTCATCAAAAAAGTTAGAAAACACAGAAATATATTCTTATTTTTGTAAAGTTATATTCATTCACTAGGATATGTGGAAAGTACACAAAAAATCTACTACAGTTAAATCCTAACTATTCATACATGAAGCTGACAAAATATGATGGTATAATGAAATTTTTTTCCATTCATTAGTCAGATGCAAGATACATATACATGGTCACTTTTATACGTTATACCTATTCATCTTATAAATTAGAAAATACGAAATCTACCCATTTTGCCTGTGAAGTGAAATGCCCAGGTTATCGGGTCTTGTATTCATTATAATCTACTGAAGTTATAAACACTTCCCTTGGATGATGAAAAAAAAACCAGACATAATGGTTTTTAAAATCATATTCATTCACCTAAACAAGTGTAAATACAAGTATAACTACCTTTAAATGCACATATATATTTGGTTCTAGTGCCTAAAAGGCAAGTCATTTCTGTAATGTACTTGGAGTGAAAAGAAAGTAACAAGTTGATATGCATGAAATATATTACATAATTTATAACTAACATTTAGATAGAATCTTCTACACATCTACAAATTCTGCATCAGCTGATTGATTCAACACGTGT